ATTTTGAGAGCTTCATTTAGTATAAAAAGCGCACACATTTTCCAAACTTCACTTTACTTTCGTGAGTTGATCAACCATTGACACACCATGAAGCTCCTCGCTGTCTTCTTCTGCCTTATCGCTTGCAGTTTCGCCGCCACCATCCAAAATGAACATTTTGCATTGGATGCTGATATGCGGAATGGGTTAATCTACGTAAAAGAAGCGCAATTGTTTGGGTCAAATGGGTAAGAGCCAATGTTCAATGACTAAAATCGATTGTAATGGAATTGATATTTCAGCGTTGTCTTCGAGATGAAGAGGGCAACCGTTGAAGGCTTCTCAGACATCACACACGGTATCTCCTTAGAGATGAACCCTCCACTAACAACCGTCAAAGTCGCCGTGAGCCTACCCAGAATATTTGGGCACGTTGGATTCTGGAATAGCAGTTTACCCTTAATTTACGGAAGCGGTAGCGCGGCGTAAGTCAAACAGCATTGTCGTCTATTACTCTTCTACATTAATCAACTTTTAGGTTTGACCTCAGACGTTCTCAGGTCGTGATAGAAGTGACCTTTAACATGACCTCGATGTTATTTGAACCGGTCGTGTTCAAGCCTTCCATTAAAGAAGTACATTTTGAAATGACCGGTGTCAACAACGACGAAGAGTACAGTCGAGAATTCAGTCAAAAAGTCAGAGAAGCGTTGAAAATTCTGGTGAACGATCCAGAAGTGCACGCCTCTGTTGCTGAGAAAATTACTGCTTTTTTGAATGGCCAGTACCGTTCTTCTCCACCCACGGATTGCTGGTGGTGCCCATTAATCAGAACATACTAAGATCTAATTTATTGAATGTAATAATTTATCTTATTTTTAAGAAAGGTTTTTTTTACTAATAAAAATGTTATTTAAAAAGTACTATATTGTATAATTTACTTTCAAATGTTTAACTTGGATGACCTACCTGTCAGGTTTGGCAAAATGACGAAGTCTAAACGTACAATCGAGCGAAGGGTGGAGTTCAGCTTGTAATAAAAATTACTCGCTGTTCTTGCACTCAACCCGTAATGATTGTTTAAATGATCACATAATGCTATAAAATTAGTTGTATGCGTCATGTAACAAGAAAAAAAAAGAAGCACACTACCTGACCACTGATCTTCTAGCATAATCGACTTGCACATGCGTTTAAATTGTTTTAAATTTAAATTAAATCCTACGATTCTACAGATACTTGAGATCATAAGATTGTTCGGATTCTTGGAATTCATCTTTGGTTTTTTTCTAATTTTTCAGATTTTTAAAATTCGGTGAATGTAATCAGATTTTTCGGGCGCTTTGAGTTCTTCACAATTTTTTTTGGAATCGTTTGGATTCCTACAAGTTTCTTCAAATTTTCCGGATTCTTCACATTCTTCTGATTATCCTATTTCTTCAGATTTTTCACATTGTTCAGTACCCGTGAATTTAATCGGATTCCTCAGATTCCTTCAAGTTTTACAAATACTTCGGATCTTTCAGATCCTGCAGATACTTGAGAGCATTCGGATTCCTCATAGTCAGATTCTTCCAATCTGTGGATTTAATCAGATTTTTCGGATGCGTTGTATTCTTCGGATTCTTCAGACCCTTCACATTTTTCAGGTTGTTCAAATCCTTCGAATTTTTCAAATCTCTCGATTCTTCGGATTCGTCAGATTTTTATTTTCCTCAAGTTCTTTAGATTGACAGAATTATGGATCCTTCGGTGTCTTCAGATTTCGTGAAGTTTGTAATCGATTTTTCGGATTCCTCAAATTCTGCAGGTACTTTAAATTGATTGATTGGTTTCTTTGGAATGTTCGGATTTTTCCGATCCTTCGGACTTTTCAGGTTCCTCAAATTCCCCAAATTGTTCAGGTTTTTCATATCCTTCAGATCTTTCAAATTCTTCAAATCTTGCAGATTCTTCAGTTCTTTCGGATACCTCTCATCTTAAGGCTGTTTATATCCTTCTAAATCTTCAAATTCTTTTAATTCTTCTAATCGTCAGATTGTTCAAACTTTTCAGATTCTTCAGTATTTCATATTTATTTTTCGCACTTCTGATTTTTGGAATCATTCGGATTCCCCGGTTTCTTAAGATTTCTCGGAATCTGTGGATTCAATCGGATTTTAATTAAGGATCAGATTTTGTTAATTTTTCAGGTTCTTTAGGATCTTGAGGTTCTTCATGCCTTTCAGATCCTTCACACTCTTCAACTCCTTTAGATTTTGGCAACATTTAAATGTAAGCTATGTTACAATTTCAAAAATATTAAAAAAAAATGTCAAGAAGCATTCAAAAATATACCATGAGATTTTCAAGAAAATTTAATGAAGTTATTCAAGACGATCGCAAAATAAGTCATAAAGATTCTCCGGAGATTGCAAGAAGATTTGAAGAGTAGGTCAACAAAATTTAAAAAAAAAGGTTTCAAGAAGATTGCAGGAATAGTTTGTTAAAAATTTAAAGATTTACTGAAAATTTCAAAAGTTTAAGAATATTCTTGAGATCCTTCAGATTCTTAAAATTTTTCGGATTCTTCACATTCTTCATACCCTTCGGATTCCCCGGTTTCTTCAGATCCTACAGATCCTTGAGATTTTCAGATTTTTCGGATTCTTTCAATTAGTTGGATCCCTCATATTCTTTAAATTGTACAGATTCTTCATATGCTATAATTTAATCAGATTTTTCGGATGCTTTCAATTCTCTGTATGCTTCGGATTCTTCAGATTCCGTGGATTTAGTGATTTTTCGCATTCCACTGATCAGATTTTGTAGGTTCTCCAGATTTTGCAAATATTTCATCTCATTTTTTCGTTTTTTCAGAATCTTCAGAATTTTCGGATTTTTTCGAATCTTCGGGTTTTTCAGGTTCCCAAGATTCCTCAAATTTTTCAGGTTTTTCAAATCTTTCATATACTTCATATTATCTTAAGAATGTTTGTACGATGTGGAATCTTCGGATTTTTTTAATTTTTCGGTTTCTTCAGCTTTTTGACACTGTTTTCAGATTTTTCCGGATTCTTAGGTACTTTGGGTTTTTCAGATTCCTCTTCGGGTTTTTGGAATCATTCGGATTCGGATTTTTCAGAGTTCAACAAGATGCGGTAGCGTGACGTAAGCCAAACGGCATTGTCTTCTGCTACTCTCTATATTAATAAACTTATAGGTTTGATCTCACACGTGTTCAAGTCGAGATGGAAGTCGGCCACAACATGACCTCAATGTTGTTTGAACGAGTCGTGACCAAGCCCTCCATTAAAGAAGTGCATTTTGAAATGACTTAACCTTAGGATAGGTTTTTTAGAATTAAACATATTACTTAAAAGGTACCGTATTGCTTAGTTTCCTTTCAAATGTGGGTGACCTACCAGTCAGGTTCAAAAACATAAAAAGTTCTAAACGTATAGAGACCAAAAAGTTTCTTAACAAATCAAAAAATTAAATTATTGTTATACAATGTACCAGTGGCGCACCGAAACAAAGTTCACGGGTAAAAAGTAGAACATGACCCCTGAAAAAACAACACCCAGTAGATTCTCCCTACTTGACATCTGAACCCTTCAACGTAGCTTATATTTTCGGGAAAATTTATTAAGGCTTTGAAGTGTGTTATGGATATTCAATGACCCTCAAAAACTCTAGAAATCAAATACAGGCTCTTAATATAGATATAGATAAGATCATGCCGAAACTTTTGGAGGCACACGAAGACTAGCGAAAAGCCCGAATTTAAGTTACTGTTACATCTTCCAGATAGTTAATCACCAGGGAAGCAAATGTATCTAAAAGGAGGTAGGAAGAGGGGGATAAATTTAACTGATACATAAAAGACACTTAAACTGTTTTAAATACTACTAAAGGATAAAGATATAAAATCCTAGGAGCCTCTTGGATACTCTAAAAATCCATGGAGACCATAGTGAATGCTCTTAAAAAATTTTGATGGAAACAGGTACATTCACACACTAAATTATCTACTTAACTGGAACACAAGATACTGTCCCTTAGAAGGTTTTGGATACGTTTTGAAGACCTCTAGATTTCAAATCCAGATGAACCTTAAAGATCGTGAAACACTGAAAGATTCTTCAAGATGGTGGAAGCATTGAAAACATGCGCTGATTTATGAAGGGTGTTAAATACTCCTAAATACCAGTAGAACTTCAAGGATTGTTGACTCTTGAAAACTGTTGAGGGTTTTTGAATGCCTTTGCAGGTATTAGAGACCCTAAAAGACTAAAGAATACCTACCTTACAAATCTCTACAACACCAATGAACACTAATTAATTGTTAAAAACTCCTGAAAATTGAGACAAAATAGCACGTATCTCAAATAAAGGAAAATACAGAGTGGACATTCTAAAGCATAAAAGGCCATCAGAACAAAGTCTGCTTTTGCCTTTTTGTGGCGTTCGGTAAACATTTAAGCTTCATGTGTACGTTTAAAGCTCGTCATGTCCCAGAACCTGACCGGCAGGTCATTCAAGTTACATATTTGAAGGGAAAATGAACTACGACCAGTTTTAAGTGTCACGACATTTTTGACAAAATCATGAACACAAAAAAACCAAATGAAATCCTTTTTTTTTACTGAACGAAATGCTTCCTTATAATTAACAATAGTATTACAAAAAACTTAAAACTAAATGTTAGTATTATGTACAAAAATAATTAAAATCAATGCAATATGAAAAAGAAATTATGGAAGCATTCGAGGAAAGTATACGTAATGGATTTTCAAAAATTTGATGTGCATAGGTAAAGTTCAACAGATAGCTGGACAGCACTTGTTTTGTGAAGGTAAGTATGATAATGATTGGACGTATCTCTGACCTTTTTGTCTTTACAGCTCCAACCTCTCAACATGTGAAATTCCTCTGGCTATAAAAGATGTACATCCAGATTGGAGGGATGCTAATAGATGGCAATAATGTAGGCTCCTGACTGGGAGATAGTAGTTCTGACTTCTGACCGTTACTTTCGATATTTTTTTTATATCGAAATAAGAAAATCGGGAAATAGCTAAAATAGCACTTTCAATAGAAACTTTATTGCTTACATTTGTTTACTTACGGTTTATGTTCAACCCTATTTCGTCTTGTGGAAAAATTTCCACTAGTGACAATATTCAAATTATAAAAAACTGGTACGTTTCTGAAACGGATTACATTTAAATTACTTGTTACTTAGAATTAATTTACTTACGCTCAGAAGTCAGACTAATACTTAATTAAATGAAACAATTGATCCGTCAATTGACGACAAATAATTTAAATTATATTGCATACGCAATACGACTGCAATCGCTGAATAACGACAAAAATATGTTTTAAATTGTTGTAAATTTCCCAAATAAAATAATGTTTATAACAAATAACAAGAATAAACCTAGTAATGCCATCTATATTGTATGTGTCCATTTTTGTAAGGGAAAACTGTACAGTAATCCGTTACATAAGTAGCACGTTTATTTGCAGAAAGCCTTCCTTAAAATTAAAATAAATTATTACATTACAAAAATTAGACCTTAGTACACTCTAAGGCGTGGGCACCACCAGCAATCCGTGGGCGGTGAAGAACGGTACTGACCATTCAAAAAAGCAGTAATTTGCTCAGCAACAGAGGCGTGCATTTCAGGATCGTTCACCAGAACATTCAACGATTCTCTGACCTTTTTGCTGAATTCTCGACTGTACTCTTCGTCGTTGTTGGCACCGGTGATTTCAAAATGAATTTCTTCAATGGAAGGCTTGAACACGACTGGTTCAAACAACATCGTGGTCATGTTAAAGCCGACTTCCATCACGATTTGAACACGTCTGAGATCAAACCTAAAAGTTGATTGATGTAGAGAGTAATAGATGAGAATGCCGTTTGGCTTACGTCGCGCTACCGCTTCCGTAAATCAAGGGCAATGTGCAATTCCATAGTTCAACGGATCCAAATGTTCTGAGTAGGCTCATGGAGACTTTGATTGTTGTTATTGGAGCGTTCTTCTCTAACGAGATATCGTGTGTGACGTCTGAGAAGCCTTCCATGATTGCGTTCTTCACTTCGAAGACATATCTGAAATAACAATTCCATTACAATCAACCTTGGGCCATTGAACATTAGCTCTTACCCATTTGACTCAAACAATTTTGCTTGCTTTACGTAGAGCGGGTCCATGGCTTTGAGAAGGCGAACGTACATGTTCATTAAACCATTCAGCATATCAGCATCCAATGTAAAACGTTCATTTTGGATGGGAGTGGCGAAACTGCAAGCGATGAGGCAGAAGAGAACAGCGAAGAGCTTCATGGTGTGTCAATACCTGGTCAACTTACGAAAGTAAAGTGAAGTGTAGAAAACGTGCGCGCTTTTTATACGAAAATAGATATAAATAAAATAAAATAGATAGACACTTGAGAATGTAGTAACAGCACTCACCTGGAGATAACGTCGCTCATTTGGTTACAAAAACATTCCCCTTGAACTTTACACAGGATTTTCCGTTACGTTGGATCTTGAAGCTTGGTCATGAACGACGAACTTAATCCGTATAATTTAAACCGTAAATGGTGATATTCGAAAGTTCGCAAATGGATTTAAGAAAAGTCTCTGGATTAATCTGAATCAAGGTCGAAAGTATTTACATTGCAAAAATAAACTCTGCGGTCCAAAATAAATGGTTGCACCCTTGATTGTAATGATGAAGTGTGGCTCCTAATATCTAAACTAACGACTGAAAGGTGGCACATATCTGCAAGGATAAAATACCCGTAGTTAGTGAAACAATTGAACTTAAGACCCTCGGCACAGCCACTGTTGCTCAGGTGCCGTGTCGCGGCCAAGGGCTTGCACGGAGTTCAAGAACACCTTTTTAGAAGTGACGGAGTCTGTGGTCGTGTACTGATGACTTAAAGATGTGGCTTAACCGTAAAGACCAAGAGAATTCGACAAAGAAGCCATGCCTGGATGCCTCCAAATGAATGCCAACAAGTCAGGAGGTCCACTATGGGATTTTGACATTCGTTTCGGCTACATGGGGTAGTTGTTCAACGTCTTCGGAGGCAAATATTGTTGAGATTTTAGCATCACTTAAGCTTTGATATCATCAATGGATATGTTTCTTCCAAAAGTTTCGGTCTTCCTTTGTGAGTACTCTCCTCCGACACTCCGCTAATGAGAATTGCAACTGAGCACGATAAGGGATCGAGAAAGAAGGCGTCGTATAGTAGAAATGAATACCTTTCATTAAGACCCTTCATTAGATCATTGGTCGTCGCATGAAAAAGTTGTGCAGGTTTATCCCCCCCTTCCCTTAAGACAACGAAATTTGAAGACCGTCGGAGCTACCTAAAGGAAAAATCCAGGACGTTTAGGACAATTTCTCGGTCGGGCGGATGGATTCATAAACGGCCAAAATATAACCGATAGCACTTTTTTTATTTAAAAAATTCGTTAAACATGTCAGGTAGACTACCGCTGCTAAGTGGAAAAGAGCCCACAGGATGAAAAATGGCGATATACACTCTGATATTTTTAGCGCATTTTCCAAATTATGTTGGAAGGCGTTATTGTGGCCACTTTCTCCGTTCTTCCGTCCGTCCGTTCGAGTCCTACACAACTGTATAGTAGGCTCTTTATTTTAAGAGGTCAGGAGCTCAATTTTAAAGAGAAACCATAGATTCCAAGAAGCTAATCCAAACAAATTTTTTCGGAGAGTCTCCACGATATTTAGATCAATAGAATCATGGATTATTTGTACCATTCCGGGGTCAGGCAGGTTCATCGAGTGTTCAAAATGTATTAACTCTGGTTTACACAATTCACATTTTTCCAGCTGGAGGGTTCAATCCCACTGGCATTGGAAAACCTCCTTCAAGTTGTCCGGGTGTTCAGCAAAGGTTCTTAAAACAATTATGTCGGCGAGATAAGCAAAAGCCTGACTTTCGAGGTCTGGACTAATCATACGGACTAACAAACTCTGAAAGGTCGCTGGTAAGTCAATAGGGCATGACCTCCAGGTCACTTCCAAGTTATACTAACGCCAGTAGCCGTTGCGAAAGTCCAGAGTATTAGTGAACCTTATCCCTTGTTACTTCGCCAGGATTCCGTTGTTCGTAAGGAATATCTGTCTTTCACTGTACACTGGATGACTTTACCAAAATCGACACAGAACCGGTAATTTCTCTCGAAAGGTGATTCCACACAACTCTGGTGACGGCAAGGGAAGGCGAAAACCAGACCAAGCACAATGAAATGCACAGATAAAATACCCAATTTATCTGTGATGAAATGGCAATGAGCTGTAGCAATCCCCCCTAAGAAATTGGTACCTACATAAAAAGAAATTTTGCGCGATTCAAATTAAGCGAGAGGCGTATTTTAAATTTACCTACAGACTTTTAAAGTTAAGTACCAAGACCATTTATGGTTCAAATGACGGTAATGGTCACGCTTCAAATTCGTGGTTCATGTCAATGCTTCAAAATTCGGCGGTTCGTGGTTCAAGATCCAACGTAGCCTGCCGAAAATGCTGATAAAGTTCAAGAGGAATGTTTTGATTGTAACCAAATGAGCGGCGTTATCTCTAAGGTGAGTGCTTTTACTACAACGTACTACGTAATATGTAGGTAATACACTTCAGCTCTCAAGAGGAGCACATGGACCTAAATGGCCCACAAATTCATCAAACCTTACATCCCTAATAAAGAAATTTTCAGTCAAGCTTCTCTGTTACAAATAGTTTCCAAAGAAAGAGGAAATTTGGGAAAGTGCTAGATTCAACTTCTTTTAACTCGTTTCTTCACAAAAAATGTTTGATTTAAGCTAGTAAAGGGCTAATCCTAAACTATACACGGTAGCACTGCAATGTACTATGTCACTGACTATTGACCCCATGATAACGGCCAACGTTTTCAATACGTAAAGGAGACTAGACGGTATGGTACTTCAGATAGGTAGATAAACAGTCATCATGATTCAGTTGATGTTGTTGCTTTGGGCAACGATGTTACAATGCGTTCATCTTTAGAAGATTTGTGGATGCTTAGTCCTACCAAATTATATCTGATAGTGAGACTGCAGACAAAGGTCACATCATCATAATTTTTACAAACCCATAAAGCAGACATGTTCGTAGAACACATTTCGCTACCAACGTTGCCTGTCGAAAATTCGCGCAAAGTTCAAGAAGAAAATTTTCATTGCAATCATTTGGTGGCGTTATCTAAGGCGAATGCCTACAATCTCAAGTGTCCATTTTGAGAGCTTCATTTAGTATAAAAGGCGCGCACGTTTTCCACACTTCACTTTACTTTCGTAAGTTGACCAGGTATTGACACACCATGAAGCTCTTCGCTGTCTTCTTCTGCCTCATCGCTTGCAGTTTCGCCGCCACCATCCAAAATGAACATTTTGCATTGGATGCTGATATGCGGAATGGCTTAATCTACGTAAAAGAAGCGCAATTGTTTGGGTCAAATGGGTAAGAGCCAATGTTCAATGACTAAAATCGATTGTAATGGAATTGTTATTTTAGCGTTGTCTTCGAGATGAAGAGGGCAACGGTTGAAGGATTCTCAGACATCACACACGGTATCTCCTTAGAGATGAACTCTCCACTAACAACCGTCAAAGTCGCCGTGAGTCTACCCAGAACATTTGGATCCGTTGAACTATGGATTTATATTTATATTTATGGATTTATTGATTTACGGAAGCGGTAGCGCGGTGTAAGTCAAACGCATTGTCGTCTATTACTCTTCTACATTAAAATAAACTTTTAGGTTTGATCTCAGACGTGTTCAAGTCGTGATGGAAGTCGGCTTTAACATGACCTCGATGTTGTTTGAACCAGTCGTGTTGAAGCCTTCCATTGAGGAAGTTCATTTTGAAATCACAGGTGTCAACAACGACGAAGAGTACAGTCCAGAATTCAGCAAAAAAGTCAGAGATACGTTGAATGTTCTGGTGAACGATCCAGAAATGCACGCCTCTATTGCTGAGAAAATTACTGCTTTTTTGAATGGCCAGTACCGTTCTTCACCGCCCACGGATTGCTGGTGGTGCCCACTCCTTAGAGTAAACTAAGGTCTAATTTTTGTAATGTAATAATTTATTTTAATTTTAAGAAAGGCTTTCTGCAAATAAACGTGCTACTTAAAACTGGTCATAGTTCATTTTACCGTCAAATATGTAACTGTAACTTGAATGACCTGCCGGTCAGGTTCTGGGACATGACGAGCTTTAAACGTACACATGAAGCTTAAATGTTTACCGTACGCCACAAAAAAGGCAAAAGCAGACTTTGTTCTGATGGCCTTGTACGCTTTAAAACGTGATGTATCTTCCCTTATTGAAAATACGTGCTATTTTGTCTCATAAATCAAACTTTCAGGCGTTTTTAACGATTAAGTAATGTTCAATGGTGGTGTAGAGATTCCAAGAAGCTAATCCAAAAAAATTTTTTTCGGAGTCTCCATGGTTTTGAGGTCAATAGAATCATGGATTACTTGTACCATTCCGGGGTCGGGCAGGTGTTATATCATGGCGATTCATCAGGTGTCCAAAATGTATTAACTCTGGTTTACACAACTCGCATTTTTTTAGAGTCTTAGTTGAGCTTCAACAGTAGTCAATATTGTCAAGAAGCTCAAACAGCATTTGAGAGACATTTTAAGTTCTTATTGACCTTTGCCAACTCACCCTTTAACAAAGTTTAAGAATTTTAGGAACCTTAAAAGTTTCGGTTTTCAAGTTTCTCCAAGAGAAGCAGAGCTACTCCAAGGAGGAGGCAAGATGCCATACACAATGATAACAAGAAACCTACGTACTATCGTAGCTAAAGCACCAATTGCACAAAGAAGGGGAAGGTGATTCCACACAGCTCTGGTGACGGCAAGGGAAGGCGGAAAGCCTGACCAAGCACAATGAAATGGCGATGCGCTTTACCATTCCCTAAAGAAATTGGTGACAAAGGAAATTTTGAGCGACCAATTTAACCGGACAGTGCAAGTTGCGAAGAGCACAAAACTTAGTTTTTGTGCATCAAAGTAACATCTTTTGCCATTTCTCCGACGAAATGGGTGTATAAATATGTGTTCTGCTTATCATTCCATGCTAAAATTACGACTCGAAAAATAATACAAACTTCATAGTAATGTAAAAACCTTGAACCTAGATTCAGATGAAGCCAGAGACGTATTTAAAATTCATTTACATACTTTTGAATGTTTAAGTATCAAAACCAATTGAAATTATGCGGTTTAATGGTCGCGCTTGAAATTCGTGATCCATGACTAAGCTTCAGGATTCGGCGGTTCG